AGCTAATCTGAACAAAATATTCAATTTCCATATCATGTAAGCCCAGACAACTAGAGCTTTATGATAGTTTAGAAAAATTTTATAAAACCAGCCCAATTTTTGTACAGTGCAAATAAAATCTGCCTTTGAGTAAAAAGAAGTCTTATAAACAAGATCAAAACATGCTCTAAATCTTTGATATATGTTGAATTCACTATTTTTCAGGGGTTACCATAATTATTGTGTATTTCACAACTACAATTTAAATACTTTTAAATAATTTTATATATCCATAAATCTAAGAACCACAAATTTGTAATTCTTCATGAAACTAAGAAAACTGTTGCCTGTCTTAGCAGGCACGACCAGGTCCCAGATCTGCCTTACATGCCAAACAGGTACTTGCCACCATACCTTACTTTCCTCCCACAATTTATAAAAGCTTGCAAATGAAAATAGTATCAAAACTGAAAAAAATGGAGGTTTTGTGAGTGAAACTGACATAATCATAAGTTATTTACATAATTTCTTAATATTTATTTTACTTTACAAATGAGTTACAGGACTAATTTATCCCCAAAATAATGTAAACAGATAATTTCTTGGTTGAATGGTGGGCTTGTTTATTTGGTCACCAGGTATATCCTGTCAAAAATTTGAAGCTAAATGCCTTTTCCACTGACACAAAGGCTGATGACCTGGGCCAGCCTGGACTGGTATCATACCTGCAAATCCAGGTCATATAATAATCTGACATGCAATGAGAGAGTACTTGTTCTGAAACTCTAAGATCGGGCAGAAAAATGAGTGGACTTTCAAGGCAGGCTTCACCTTATGAAGAATATACAGTAAATGTGAGTAAATGTACACCACTCCCTCGATAACTTGCGCCTGGATAGCTCGCAAACCCGCTTATAACGCGGTGTCTGGCATGGCTCCCGATTTTTTTTCTAAGAAAAATATATTTTAAAATGTGTAAAACATGAAAAAAGTCGTGATAAGAAATTGTAAATTGGCAAATTTAACCTTGATACATAGTTCCTTTTTATCATCGAAAATGGCGATTACCATATTTTCCGGGGTATAAGTCGCTACTTCTTTTCGGTTTTTTTTCTTAAAAATGATGTGTGCGACTTATAGGCAGGAGCGACTTATACGATAAATAAATTTTTTTAACCACTGTGACTGATGCACAGTGATGCTGAGCTTTAGCGAAATGCATCTGCCGGTATACGGGCAAGCCAATTGCTGGAAACTTACATATGGTACACGTAAGTATTAGACTATAAGATTATCAAATTAAATAGTCAAATAATATTTAGTTATATATTTGTTAAAATATGTTGTTATTAATATAAAAAAAAAAATATTGAAATAACGATTGCCATTGTATTTTCTTTATTATTCGGCATGTACATCTTAGAATCTTTCTGTCTCTAAATTCAGTCATAAATTTCAGCACATTTTCCCACCCAAGCTGCTAGTCAAAGTCCTTTGAACTTGCCGCCCAGCTATTGCATCATGATCTTTTGATGTACTCAAATAAATACAAAATGCAGAACAGATATTATTTTGTTATTTTAAACAACGAATTATGTCCCTGTAAAGCTTTTCCGAGACCTCAGTTAGCACTTCATAATTTACTTTAATAGTAGTTTATAAAAACACACAATCATTTTTTCGGTTGGTTTCGCAATGGCTTGTTATTAAAAAAAAGGCTGGTGAACAGTTTCAATTGTTAGGTGAATTCGCAATGTCTTCTTTAATGTATTAAAATCACTGTAACGTATAAAGTGCCTTTGAAGTTTGCTTGGGTTGTGGAAATAACCGATATATAAATATGTACCATTCATACAATGGAGCAATAATAAAATATACTTTCTCCATAACGTTGTAGAATTTAAAATTGTTATATTAGCGTAAGTCAATAAGTTTTGTTTTAAATTAAATTCGTGCCATTTATCATGGCACCAACAACTAGAAAAAATATGATGCAGAATTTAAGTTAAACGTCATAGCATTTGCGAAAGAAAATAGAAATCGTGCAGCAGAAAGAAAATTCAACGTAAGCGAGAAGATTGTGCGTGACTGGCGTAAAAAAGAAGACAGTTAATGTCAACAAAAAATACCAAGAAGGGAAATCGTAGTGGCAAAGCAAGTTGGCCAGTTCTCGAGGAGAATCTACGAAAATGGATTGTGGAACAGCGTGCTGCAGGTCATGGACTTTCAATAATTCAAATACGACTCAAGGCAAAGTCAAAGTCTATTGTAATACTGATTTTTATATAACTCTTAAACAATTGTATAATATTTCTTACACAAAGTTGGAAATTACCAAGTCGCATGCAATGGCCGGCGGTATCAAAGACATGATTATGGTAAGTGCGGAGGAACGACTTATATGCAGGAGCGACTTATAGGGCGGAAAATACGGTATTCCCTGTAAAGATAGAATCCATATTGTGAAATTTGCATTTTTTCAAAATATGAAGTGATATTTCTCAAACGTGTCACAAACCGTAAGTGTTATCGTGATCTAATTTATGTCGTTTTAAATTTTTAGACCCATTAAATTCATGTTTTGGTTGGTTAAACCTTGTGAATTTTTTTTTCCATTTTACTTCTACCGCAATGAAAATCTACACATCGTTCGATTGACATTGTTTTTTCGAAGTGTGTCGATTTTTTGCATTTGAAAAAAAAACCTGTCTACTTTGGATCAAACAATAAAATTAGAATGTATACCATTAACCACAAAAATAAGTGACGTAATACACAACGTGTGAAGTACATGTGCTAAGCAAACGGAAACCAGGAGGAATAATGTTTAGATGATTTCCTCAATATACTGTAAGTTATCCTGAAATTAATGTTACTCTGTGAGGAAAAACTAAACAAAGTACAACAATATGAAAAGATATTTATCCACTGTTAATCTTAGCGCGATTATTAATTGAGTATTCAACATGCCAAGCTACCCCACCCCCTTTTCTCTATGTGTCGATCCCATTGTTATATTTGTTGTTTGTTAAAGGTCCCTCGATAACTCGCGCCCTCACTTATATCGCGGTAGATGTTTTTGGACCCCAATGTCCGCGAGTTATCGAGGGAGTGGTGTATTTGCTTTCATCTAAGTATATGAAAATGATAATAAAAAATAACAATATTTCAAGTTTAAATGATATTTCAAGTTTAAATGTTATTTCAAGTTTGCCATACATATTACCTTTTCAAAAAACTTTCTTTTGCTTCCGCAAGCTTTAATTCTTGTCCTTTCCATTTGGTCTTGTTAAACAAGGTAAAGCCTGAAACAATAATATTCATTATTATGTACTACATGGCATGCTTCAACTCAATGAAGTAATTACTATCATCAAATATATGCTGACATTTTATACAAATCGGGGCAGAAAATTTGGAAGACCAGTAATCTGAATGTCGAGATTATACTGTTAGTACTTAACATGGGAAACTATTGTGTATCTGTGTGGGGAAAGGAGGCTTAAACATTTCCTTTGTTTCTTCTAAAATATGCTTTTCCCATCTTTAATATCATAAGTTAAGGTATAAAATATATAATGATACAGTACTACTGATGTATATTGACATCCTCAGGTCCAAGGTAATATTGTCGACATAGGAGGCTGTAAGGATAAGTGGAGGGGGTAAGGTGGGCTGAACAAATTTCACATTAATACAAGCAAAATTTATCTTTTAGGAGTGACCTGTCATCAGTGAGTAAAATTTAGACTTTGAAAAAATAAACAAAATTTTGATTAAATGAAGGCAAAACCAGTTTGAAATACATTTATAAAGAATTTTATACTAATTATAAAGCACTTAAATTCAATAGCAGTCATATAATAAGCTGTTTAAAATTTCTTACAACAATTTGATTCAGTTGAGATTTTACAGTGTCAAAGTTAATATCGGTTATGTAAAAACAAATATAATTTATGGTTTTTGATTGGATTTTGAAATATATGGCCGAAATTCTTTAAATGATAATAATTTGCTGCTCTGACAGCTGTCTGCCAGTGCACTATCTTGAACTCATATTTATGGACAGCTTTTCACATCACATTACCTTAGTTAGCCAATCAATATTTGTCCTTCTCAGGGCTAGCCAAGTCAACTGTTCAAACGGTATGCAAAAATCCCTCTGAACACAAAATTTAGATGGAATTAAGTTTTTGCTCTTAACCTTATTTGTATATTCATACCTATAATTACATTGAACTGAATGAAACGGACAAACAAGTATTCACGGCAAATCGAGTGAGAGTACAACATACTGGTGATGCAATGAGTCGTAATACAGTTAGAAATAGTCCCTATCAAGTGCATACTATTTTGTACATCAAAGTAAAATAACAAGTTCTACATCACCAAGAACTTAAATAATAATCAGTAACATTTGTTATAACTTAATGTTCAACAAAAGTCTGACAAGAGAAATGTGATTCTTTGGCCAGGCACTATCCTGAATATCTGCTGTTCCAGTAACAGAACTTCACCTGATGGTTGAAGTCACTAATTAATGGACTAACATTATATTTCTGGCTTTGATATTCCAAAATCATGGCAGATAAGATAATTCATTTCCTAAACTATTTATGTGAAATTCCAGCATGACACATGCATGGTCCAACATGGAAATGATTAGGACTCAAACTATTTTCCACTTGATGTTGATGTCCAAGGGCTTGTAGAACCAATGTTATATCTACAAATGACTTAATGTAAGTTATTTGACTCATGAAGGCAAAAAACAGCGAGTCAAAATCCAAACCTATGAGTCTTAGTCAAGCCGATGATCAGTTTTAAGTAGTTTTTAAAAATAATTATATTGTTTAAATACACAATAAAAATATAATACTTATATAATGTGACTAAAGCCAATAAGGCAATTCCTTTGCCAGAAGCATCTGAACATCCAGCATTTGTTAAAAATCTTGTTGATGGTTTCATATGACCAGAGTTTATTGTTGGCTATATCATTGCTTTCATACATCGTTCCAGTGGCCTAGTGGTTAGAGCGTTGGCCTCGAAAGCTGGAGGTTGCAGGTTTGAACCCTTGCCAAGTCATAACAAAGACTTTAAAAATCATACTAACAGCTGCCTTGCTTGGCGCTCAGCAGTAAGAGGTTAGTGTTGGGACTGGTCAGCCTCACATTAAGTATAAAACACAGAGTACACATTTATAAGAGATGCAGATGACGATCTAAACAATGGTGGGTGGGTGGCATATGTTCAGGAATGGAAGAAGTGATTCACACCATAGCAGATATTTTCAGTGACGGAATAAAATGACATAATCAAATATGCTAATATCTCGTAGGTCAAACATCATCTCACATCTCAATGTTTAACACCAAATAATCTTCACACATTAATTGGACAATATTTATACATGCAAAACTTCATTCACAATACCATTAGGGTATTACAACATAATGAAACTGCATCATGTTTTTCTGACGTTACATGCTTTTACATTATCATTATTAACATTATTATTGGAAAAAGAATGTAGCTCTTAATAGTGCCTAGTATTTTGGTTTGTTGAGTTAGGTATTACAATAAGAAAATGAAAACCTGTCAAATGAAAATGTTTTTGCAAATTATTTTGTGACCTGTCCCACTTTTAAATTCCTAAGTACCCAGATATTGAGTTTCAAGAGAAATTTAATTTGCATTTTATGCCACCTTTCCCAATCATAAAAAGTTAAATTTTTGCTGCAGAAAAGGAAACCTTAACATCACAATAAATGTTTGAATCACTGATTACTTTGGAAAATGCAAAAATCAATCCAATTCCATTGATTTTATTCCAGTTTGTTGTTGAGTTCCTTTGATTAATCATGCCTGATTGTTAATGCAATGGCAACAATAAAGCCTGGCATCAACATCAAATGATTTTAGAACAGTGCATGGGTTGGAACTTGCAGTTTTCAACATAACAAAAAATTAGAAAACAAAGGATTTGTTCAAGTTGGGACCTAGGGCTTCAGTCAACATATACATTTCTTTTTATCTCAACACTGACAAATTTGGTGTAACAATAGGCCTTGGGCCAAGGAGTTTGGACCTGTGTCAACAAGTCATGTCATGAAATGGTAGGAAGGTAGAAAGTCCATCCAATGAAAGACTGTAGTACATCTTTATCTGATAGTTTTTCCCTTTACGCACAGTTGTGCGTCAGGGACGCACACTGGAGATAATTGACGCACAGAAATTTTTGCTGTGCGTTTTTTTGACGCAAAGGATTTGCAAAATATAATCACGATTTATTTAATATCCAATGCGTTGCATTAGAGATGGCATCGTGTATACTTTGATTATACATCATTAGGGATGGCATCGTGAATACTTTTTCAGGTTTCTCGTATGCTTTCTGTGTTGCACACTGTAATACTGAGCATACAGAGCAGGGAACCAGACTACCATTAGGCAATATTATGACAGAGTAGCTTCCTCTGATCTCACGAGCTCTCATGCAATTCTATCGAGTTCAGCAAGATGCCCAGATGTTTAACCTCAATTCTTGTTGCATTAAAATGTGATCTCAAGATAAAAATAGCATTCACTAAGAATCATTAGCGAAGAAAGTGAATGAAGCAGAACATGAAAAAGTAAATGTCGATCTGTTTCTAATGAAAAACTTATAAAATATTCTCTTGACTAGAATACGGAACATCCAAGGCATTGGGATTACAGGTGTGATTGCGAAGAGTACACAAGTGTATAATCCTTTCATGACATTGATCACCACAAGATATCTTTTGAACACAGTATTACCTAAAACATTATTTCAGAACAAAGAAATAAGTAATTGCAGAGACAAATCCATTATTTGGATTACAAATTCAGGGGGTTGTTGCAGATTTAGTTAACTTTGCTGCAACAAAAGAAAGATCTAAAAGTTTAGGTGTAACTTGTTAAAGAGAAGATGAATCATTACCCTCTGATTTTTGGATAAATGTGTTTTAGGATGATGTACAATGAAACCGATAGTACACATTTTATGACAGGCAGTAAATTAACTGTCATTTTTTAATAAGATATATATGGAGTTTTTTTATTCGCTTATATGTAATGTGTTGGTCTATAATATTGCTAAAAAAAAAATTATAAAGAGACTGTTAAAAAAAACTAAAAGAAAAATTAACAAATAAAAGTATCATTTGAATGGAAAATGCATTTGTGTTAATTGTGCCTGTTGGTTTATTAGAGAGAGACAGACAGACAGACAGACAGACAGAGAGACAAAGAGAGAGAGACAGAGAGAATAAATTGTGCAAATTGCAATATCCTATTCCAGCTGAAAAAGTATGGATTTTTGACCCCCAGAGAGAGAGAGAGAGAATATATTGTGCAAATTGCAATATCCTATTCCAGCTGAAAAAGTATGGATTTTTTACTTCATTTTTGCCCCCCACATTTGAAAACCCATGTCACTTTGTCATTTTTGACCCCCACATTTTTTATTTGACCCCCAGTTCTGACACCAAGGGGGGGGTTGACCCTCAGATTTACACTCCTGGGGGATACACTGATCTTATGAAAATTAACTTGTCAATAATAGGGCTGTCAAAAATCACGAAAAACCAACCCGGGTACCCGTTGCAAATTTTAACGGGTATTTTGGTACCCGTTAGCACATGAATGACATGTACAACCGTAGACCAACTAATTGATATATTCATTTCTTTAATATTTTTTTTTATGGCGATAGAGGCTAACCGGTCTGATTCGTCCACACCGACGTAGCTGCGAATTGTCTGACCGCACGCTGTTAATTAATAAATTTATTTAGAATGACCTTTGTACATAAATGGTAGGTATTATCCAACTTTTAATGATCACTGTGATCAGCCGCATTAAAAGCTTTAGAACACTCGCCTTTTTTAAAGTATAAGTCCTTGTTAGAACAAACCACGTTTATTCATCTGCTTCTGACCGCAGATTTGAATTACCCACGCATGCGTGCCCCAGTTATACGTGACCACGCAGTCGCAAAAGTGTTATTATTTTGGAATTATAATTCTTAAGATAGTTATGGCAAAACTGTAGTAGTATCGAAAATAGAAATATCGGTATATGCAAGATGGCTAACTTTCAAAATTAGCAGAGCTAGTCGACTAGAAAAACGAGCTGCTCAAAGATTACTTTGAGGCATTACGAAGATTTCAAGGTGTCTAGGTGATAATTGTTCATAATATAAATTGTGGGATTTGACCTGTGTGTTCGGAAATCAAAGATATCCATCTGGATTTCATTAAAAGAGCCCACTAGGTACCGATCATTTAGCACCCACATTCAATAGTTATCATCTACAAAGAGGTTTATTACCTGTAGAACAATGCTAGGTTTTAACCTTGATATATAATGCCTCGGGGATAACGGTTGGTCCAGTTGCACAATGCCAATGGATTTTATTAATCCAAACCAACGCCTGACATATTGTTTATTTATATTAGGCAGAGATCTGGTTTCTAATTATAGCCATAGCTGTCACACCTCTTTGAAGTGGTTGGCAAGTATGGCAAATTTTTCTTTTATGGGTACCCTCGTTTACGTTTCAATACCCAGGTTTTTCTATATGGTCGGGTACCCGGGTAACTGATGACAGCCCTAGTCAATAATCTGAAACATGCCTGCAGCAATAGTTTGAGAAAGTCAACACCATCTTATACATGTATACACAAAATTTTGCAAAGCAATTTTTAATTTTTAACAGATTTCCAGCCCAGGGTTCCAACTAAAAATAAGACTACAACACATCTAGGGTGCTCACCCTGAAAAAAATAACAGTACCCTTGTTGTGAAGTATAGTAAAATATATATAAATAATAAATAAAAAATTGTATACATTCAGTACCTCAGAAAAACAAATCTGATCTGCAAGTGGACTTAGTAGTAATTTAATATTTAACAACTCGAAACATTATAAAAGCTAATGTTCTTTTTATCCAAGAATAAAATTGTTTTGGTTTTCATTAAAAAAAAATAATCCTATGGAAAAAACAATGCCTCCAATAATTCTGAGTCAGGAATCCCATATGCAATTCCAAAATTTGTTTATCTCCATACTTCTTTCCAGAGCTGTACTGTGCACTATACACATATTAGTATGTTGGTGATGAGGAGCCAGATTATTCATCATGGCCAATATGGTGACCAAATAAGAATTACCAATGACCAAATAAGCATTACCAATGACCAAATAAGAATTACCAATGACAAATAAGAATTACCAATGACCAAATAAGAATTACCAATGACCAAATAAGAATTACCAATCTTTTGTATCATAAAAATTATTCACATCAGCTGTACATATGTAGTCATTTATGCCAATAATTTATCAACAGGTATACAGAAGTTTAAAGAATTCTATTGTCTTCAATTATCCCTTGTGCAACTCAGCATGACATGGTCATTTTCTATGCCATGAGGAACAGAAGGTATAAATATATAACAGATTGTCAATCACAAAATCTCAGGACTGTCTAAAAGAAATCTAAATAGTACCACAAAATCTCAAATCCTTTCTTATAAAAGTGTGAGGCTAAACTAGGGTTCATACAGATCAGGAGAGCTGAAATTCAGTGACTTTTCAATTACCAGTTTTCAGTTTTAATGACTACTCATTCCATCATATGTTTTACTACAGTTATGAATTTAAATACAAGCAACAAATACAAAAATACAGAAATACAGAAATAATTAAATATATAACAAAAGAGAAACAATATTTAAAAAGTCATTGTAGCCCAGATGTTAACCATTGTCCATTAGCTTCTATGCTTTCTTCTCCAGCTGCAACTCCAGTGCTTTCATTTCAGAGATGCTGCAAAGATTTGGGTGGGGTGTTACCCACTTGTTACAAAAATGAGGGAAGAGTAGAACAAAAATGACAGAGAGGATGAAATAGACCTAGTTAACTATATACTTAACACTTCAATGTCCGTCCCTCTTTCTTCCATCTACACTCTTTTAGAGTCCTTTTGAAATCAAACTTTTTAAAAGATGTTGCCTCTAGTTGTATCAATCAGTTGATTTTTCTGAGCTTAATCTGTTCC